TTTTTTTTTTTTTAAGAATAGGCTGAGGACTTTTAACGTCTCCCGACAGCCTCTGTAGTCCCATTTCGCAACCACCTTTTTCAAGATATGTAAACGATTTTAAAAATATTTAATCTTTAATTTAATTATAAAATAATAATAATACTAAATTATGTATTTTATTTCAGGCATTTAACCAAAAACACATTAAAAAAAATACATTGACTTTAGGGTAATGGAACTACAAATTTAAAAATGCTAACTGGTTTCCAGGGGCCTCATTTATAAAATGTCGCATAGAAATCGTCCTACATTTGATCTAAGATCATTTCTCAAATGTGCGCACTTGTGATTCAGAGAAACGAATGTACACCTTAAAAAAATGTGCATACACCTCTCTTCCAGATTTGAAATCTAGATAAAATGTAAAAACGATCCTGAAATTGTTCACAGATGAATGCTCTAGATTTCCAAATTCCTACAGTACTCTAACTCTGCCACAAGGAAAAGTGCATATGCCTGCTTAGAACCTGACGTGGCGCTAAGCACTTTTGCACATCAAAGACCGTTTTTATAAATCCGAGCATTGATTTTTTGCTTATGCACATTCTAAGATCCTATACACATTTTAGAAAAGAGGCCTGCGGTTTTAGGACTCATTCCTAAAATTGTTTCAAAAATCTTCACTTCTCATTATTGTGAATATTTATACATCAATTATAATCATCTTGGACTGGACTGTTAAATACTTGCACAATCAGAAGAAGATACTAAATCTTTCTCTCTTTGTCTATCTTTTGCTATTTGTTCTATAAAAGCCATCTACAGTTTTTCAGATCGGTGACAGTGTCAACAGGAAACCAATATCAACAATAACAATGCATATAACTTAATGTAGACATATGCAAATGAGAGTGAAATGTATAAAAACAGGACCGTGTTTTGTCTGCACTGTCTATATTGAGTACCAAATTACCGATCCAGACATTGTTTTACAACAACACAAAAATGAATCAGAGTAAACTGAATCCCAGGGTTAATAACACATGCTTGTTAGATTATAAGACTTACAGGAACAATTTACTTACGAAACATCCTTATGAAGGTTACTGATATAGATTACAGCACCTTTTGCACTCACCATGTGATTGATGCAAAGTCCTCACCAGGATTATAAGTAATTCTTTATTTCCTTGACCTATGGTTGTCTAAGGAATGTGAAAACCTTCAGAAGGAGATTCAAACCAATGTACACCTTCAGAAAGCTCTTGGGTCCTCTGTTGTTTGACTTTTAAATGCATAGTTTGCCCCAAAATATATATATATATTTTTGTACAAATTTTTCCCCCTCTCTGATTTAATTTCTCGCAATTATGTTTTTTTTCCCCTTTTCCTTTTCCCAGAGCAATTCAGAGCAAATCTTGCATTTCTGAGGTTATATCTCACAATTGTCACAACTTGGTTGTTTAAAACAGATGAAGAAGATGACGTTTCAGAAGTCTTTAATAATCCACACTGAAGGGAATCCAAA